ATTGTGGTATTACTGTGCCCCTGGGGACAGAGAGTGATTTCTCACTTTCCTTCTGTCTCTCTCTGGCATGTGCACACACCCTATATCAAAAACCTAGGGAACCAGCAGTTAGCGTAATGGCTATGTCGCTGGACTCCCACGTAGTCAACCGCGGTTCGTGTCCCGGACCCGGTGGCTTAAAACTCACGCCGGGCACGTGTGCGTGCGTGCTCAAGATCCCGAGAGGAGAATGGAGGAGAAGGGATTGCGGCGTGACCATCCCCCCTGGGGGGTGATTTCTCGCTTTCTGTCTCTATGTCTCTCTCTGTCTGTCTGGCGAGCGCACGCGCCCTACAGTGAAAATCTCGCAAAAAAAAAAAAAAAAAACCCTAAAAAACAGGGCTGGCAGGTGATGTGGTAAAGGTGGTGGACTGCCTCATGGCCAACCATGGTTTGAGTCCCAGACCTAGTGTCTTGCTTTCTCACTATCATCTCTCTCTCTGGTCAAGTTGAAAAATAATAAATAAAATAATTTTTTTCTTTTTTCAAGATAGATTTTTCCTATCAGGCCAGAGAGACAGAGACAGAAAGTGAGAAATCATCCCCCAGGGGGATGGCCAGGCCACAATCCCTTTTTCATTCTCCTCTTGGGATCTTAGGCATGCACGCATATGTTGGACCTGAGTTTTAAGCTGTTGGGTCCAGGACTTGAACAGTGGTTGACCATGTGGAATCCACTGACATAACCATTATGCCATCTGCTAGCCCCTGAACAAATCTTTAAAAAACCCCACTCAACTCCCACCACCACCCACCTTTCTTTTTGTTTTTGCTAGAGGGCATATGTGCTCTCCTGAGAGAGAAGCACTTCCTGTGAGGCATGGTCACGCCATGATTCCTTTTTATTTTTTTTTAAATAATTATTTATTTACTCACTCATTTATTTTAATATGACCAGAGAGAAACACAGATAAGGAAAGAGAGAGAGGAAAAGTGAGAAAGGAAGCCACCAGATCCGGGACTCGAACCGTGGTCAGCCATGTGGGAGTATCCAGCTCCTTAAGCACCACACCACCTGCTGGTCCCCCTCCTTTTTATTTTTTTGAGATTTTGGTTATAGGGTGTGTGCATTCATCAAAGACATATAAAAACAAAATGAAAAATCACTCACCATGGGGGATGGCCACTCTGTAATCCCTTCTCCTCCATTTTCCTCTTGGGATTTTGGGCAAGCACGCATGAGTTTCAAGTCACTGAGTCACAGACTTGAACTATGGTCGGCCATGTGGAAGTCCAGCGCCTTAACCAATACACCACCTGCTGGTTATCCCTTCTCCATTCTTCTTTTGGGATTTTGGGCAAACATGCACATATGCCTGGCATGTTTTCCTTCTTCTTTTTCTTTTTTTTGTCATAGGTTATGTGTGCTTACCAGTGAGAGACAGACAGTGAGAGGGAAAGTGAGAAATTACCCCCCGGAAGTATGGCCACACAGCAATCCCTTCTCTTCCTTGGATTTGGAGCATACACATACATGTGCCCAAAGTGATATTCAAAGTGGCAGGTCAGGCACTCAAATCATGACTAGCCACATGAGAGTTACTTTAACCGTGCCATCTACTGGCCTAAAAAAGGTGTCTTAGAGGGAACCAGCAGTTAGTGTAATGGCTATGTCGCTGGACTCCCACGTAGTCGACCGCGGTTCGAGTCCTGGACCCGATGGCTTAAAACTCACGCCGGGCGCATGTGCGTGCGTGCCCAAGATCCCGAGAGGAGAATGGAGAAGGGATTGCGGCGTGACCATCCCCCATGGGGGGTGATTTCTCGCTTTCTGTCTCTATGTCCGTCTGTTTAGCGAGCGCACGCGCCCTATAGCAAAAAACCTCTCCAAAAAAAAAAAAGGTGTCTTAGAGACACATATAAAGACAGCATCAATGAAGTGACAAGATGGCTGGCACATGCTTTAAAATGACTCGGTGAGAGGATGAGTACACATGGAACAAACTACCTGTAATTGTGGGAGCCAGGCTGGGCACATAGGCTAGTTGTCGTACTCTCCATTAGAAAATAAAATTACAAACCTAGGAACACTGTAGTCAAGCAACTATCCCACCAGGTCAGCCCTGCTGCCAAATGGTTAAGGAACCTAGATACCACCCGGTCAGTTTGAGTACTGGTCTGAGTGGCTTGAAAAACACACTGGATGTGCATGCATACCCCAAATCCTGAGAAGATTAAGAAATGGAGAATGGACTGCTGCATCAGCATTCCCCACTGGAGTGTTCTCCCTCTCCCCTTGGGAAGCATATACACACCCTCTGGCAACTAAAACAAAACTACACTACCAAAATGAAAGTTTTTTTTTAATAGTTATTTAATTTTATTTATTTATTTATTTTAATGTGATGAGAGAGAGAGAGGGAAAGTGAGAGAGCAAGCCACCAGGTCTGGGATTTGAACCATAGTCAGTCATGTGGGAGTGTCTAGCACCTTAACCACTATGCCATCTACTGGTACCCCAGAATAAAAGATATTTGAAGCAATCACCTAGAAAGCTTTAGTAGAAAATGTCCATATTTGGGGACCAGAAGGTGGCGTGGTGGTTAAGGCTCTCTGGACACTCCGTGGTCAATCATGGTTGAAGTCCCCCACCTGGTGGGCTACCATTCTCACTTTCTCTCTCTGTTTCTCTCTGGTCAAATTAACATAAATGAATGACAAAATAAAATAAAAAATAATTATTAAAAAAAGGTCCATATTCAAGTGATTCAGGCAAAAGATGATCTGTTGATTTTTTTCTTTTCTATTACTACTTTTGTTTCTGAAAGTTATTAAACCCTCACAAGGGGTAACTGAGGACCCCATCATACAGAAACTTTGAATTTTGTACCCAGGGAATTCAGATTTTGAGTTTTCTAAGCAAATGTTATTTTAGAATTCCCGCAAATAGATACAGAAGGATGACAAGATATTGCAGGCTGGCAACTTCTAATGGAATTTCAAATCTGGGCATTCGTGGTGGCTGAAGACATTAGGGAAAAGGCTGATAGAGAACGCTGTAATGGATGGAACAGACTGGCATCAGTCCTGACATGTGCTGAGACAGGAATTATGTGCCCCTAATGTGATTGAATAGGAAGTATATAACATTACCTATGAATTAATTCTGTGAAAAAGAACAAAACAGGATCGGAAAAAAAAAAAAAAAACCTTAGATCTCCCCATCAGTTTATAGAAAATGCAGGAGACAAGAGAAAATTTAAATACCACTAGAATGAATTCAGGAAAACCCATACCAAGGGACAATTCTATGGGACAAACCCAGTTTCTTTTTTTTTTGGAGAGGTTTTCGCTATAGGGCACGTGCGCTCGCCAGACAGAGACATAGAGACAGAAAGCGAGAAATCACCCCCCAGGGGGGATGGTCACGCCGCAATCCCTTCTCCTCCATTCTCCTCTCGGGATCTTGGGCACGCACGCACACGCGCCCGGCGTGAGTTTTAAGCCACCGCGTCCGGGACACGAACCGCGGTCGACTATGTGGGAGTCCAGCAACATAGCCATTACGCTAACTGCTGGTTCCCCATGTTTTAATAATACTGACAGTTAAAACATATTTTAACATAGATCAGTCAGTATTGGGCCAACAGATGGTGTGATAGTTAAGGGATTGGATCACACATAGCCAACTCTGTGGTTCAAATCCCAAACCTGGCAACTTGAAGAACATGCCAGACATATGCATGCATACTTAAAATCCCAAGAGGAGACTGGAGAAGAAATTGTAGCTCGGCCATTTCCACTGGGGGTGATTTCTCATCATTTTCTCTCTGTCAAATACATATATCCTGTAGGAACAACAACAAAAATCAATCAGTACTCCAGTTTCCCCATTTTTTTCAATCAGTTTATTTGAATCAGGATGCAGACAAAGTCTGTATCTTAAATTTTATCAGTATCTCAGTTTCCGTTTTTCCTTGTTTTTTTTTAGAGATTTTTGCTCTAGGGCACATGTGTTCACAAGAGAGACAAAGTGAGAAATCACCCCGCCGGGGTGGGAGTGGGGGGATAGCCACACCCTAATCCCTTCTCCATTCCCCTCTCGGGATTTCACATATATGTGCCCGGCATGAGTTTTAAGCCGCTGGGTTCAAGACTCAAACCACAATCAACTGTGGGAGTCTAGTGACGACCACTATGCCATCTGCTGGTCCCAATATCTATTCCCTTTTTATTTTTTATTTTTTTGGAGAGGTTTTTGCTATAGGGCGCGTGCGCTCACCAGACAGAGACAGACAGAAAGCGAGAAATCCCCCCCCAGGGGGATGGTCACGCCGCAATCCTTTCTCCTCCATTCTCCTCTCGGGATCTTGGGCACGCACGCACATACGCCCGGCATGAGTTTTAAGCCACCGGGTCCGGGACGCGAACCATGGTCAGCTATGTGGGAGTCCAGCAACATAGCCAATACGCTAACTGCTGGTTCCCAATATCTATTCCCTTTTAAATAGGTTTTTTTTTTTTTAAAGACAACTGATTTATTGAAGAAACTGGGTTTGGGAACCAGCAGTTAGTGTAATGGCTATGTCGCTGGACTCCCACGTAGTCGACCGCGGTTCGTGTCCCGGACGCGGTGGCTTAAAACTCACGCCGGGCGCGTGTGCGTGCGTGCCCAAGATCCCGAGAGGAGAATGGAGGAGAAGGGATTGCGGCGTGACCATCCCCCCTAGGGGGTGATTTCTCGCTTTCTGTCTCTATGTCTCTGTCTGTCTGGCGAGCGCACGCGCCCTACAGTGAAAATCTCTCCAAAAAAAAAAGAAAAGAAAAAAAAGAGAAAAGAAAAAAAAGATAGAAAAAAAAAAAAAAAGACATGGTACTGTGCACAATGCTCTATCTTTAGAGACATCCTTGAGTATCCATCTGAAGTACACAGACATGAAAATATGCTTGTTAACAGATTTAAACTGGGAGGTATGGGGAGACGGGTAAGGATATAGGTAAACAAGACTGACTTGGGACAGCAGCTGAAGGTGGAGAATGGCTACATGGGGCTTCATTATACTATGCTCTTTATTTTTTGTGTATTTATTAGAATTTCCATAATAAAATGTTTTAAAATGAGTTTTCTTTTGATAATATTACCACTATAAAACATTACATATCTTCTTCTTTAATGATAACTTCCAGGCAGAAAAATAGAATTTTCTGATGGACTATTAACTAGTACATTAACTTAAATCTTCTAAGTTGCTTAGAAACTAACAAAGAAAAATAATTTTAAAAGATTGTATTAATTACTGAATGTTACTATATCAATAAAAGACCACTCAATATAAATATAGGAACTTAAAGTATCCAGGTACGTGTCAGCCAGAATGAAGTATGAATCTTAGTGCTGTCACTTTCTGTCTACTAGCTGCATGATTTTTTGCCAAATCCTTTTATTTCTGTGTCAGAGGCTCCACATCTATAATGTGCAGGTAACAGAATGTCTTGATCATGAAGGATCCAGCACAGGACCTAGCACATGGGAAGCGCTCAGTAAAGAGTCAAACAACTTTAGCCATCCCTGCATAGGCTGTTTTCTAGCATCTCTGAACTTGGCATGTGGCTCACAACGGATGGCACACCATGGCTGGCACTGGCAGTTTTTCTTTTCTGGTGGTATGTACCAAGTCGTCAGAAGTCATGACGCATCCTTCCAGGAAAAAATATAACAAGGCTTTTCCGATGACCCAATAAAATAACGGTGCTACTAGAAGCAAATGGTGCCTACAATTCACTCCATCACCCTATCAGTTGAGGGAGAGCTACATTTCTCCTTTTAGTTCTGTTATTATTTTGAATAACCAATTTGGGATTTAACACATGTCAAAGTCTGAGCGAAATATTTTCAGCATATTATAAACAGAACATAAATTGAGACAAATCAATTTTTGTAAAAAATGGTTTATCAATTCCATTTTTGTATAAAACACATGGGAGGGACCTAGCCAATCAACACACAACTGTCACCACATGAAAAGGTACTTTTATCAAACTTCGAGTCTAAGAACATACAAATGTTTCTTTTTATCATGTCTACAAGTAATTGTCTATGCTTTTCCATTTAACTGGTTTTTAAAATTCCACATATCCCCATTATTTCTTCTGTTACAGTACAATGTTGGGGAGGAAGAGGGTTGGTTACAACAGTCTTCTAAGCCGTTTTCTGTTGTCCCTTCTTTCCAATCAGAGATTTGTGGATGTGAGGGATCACACCTAAAATGAATGAAAAAAAGTTACTAATGAAAGCTTTTTGCCACACTTTAGTGCCTTGAGTAAAAAGAATAATTATGAAGGAATGAAAAATGTATGCTAAGTCCCCCTGCTTTATAAGAGAGAAAATGCTATATGGTACATGTGCTCATCAGAGAGACAGAGAGGGAGAATGAGAGAAATCACTCCTCAGGGGGATGGCCACGTCACAATCCCTTCTCTTCTATGCTTCTCTTGGGATCATGGGCCAGCATGCACGCACACATGACAGGGTTGAGTTTTAAACCACTGGGTCCAGGACTTAAACCGTAGACAATTATGTGTGAGTCCAGCAACAACCATTATGTCATCTGCTGGCCCCATGTTAAGTCCCTTTTAACATTCTGATCCTGTTAAAGTATCTACACCAAGTGCCCCTCTAAAGCTGTTTGTAAAATTCTGTGGTTTTATATGCCTTCTCAGAAGAATCATCATGGGTTTCATGAATTCTCCAAGGGTAATCCAAAAAAGACAGAACTATCAGCTCACGTCTCACCATCACTGAACTGACTCATCTTGACTAGTTCTGTCCTTTCAAGTTAAATCAAGCTAAGCAACTTTATTTGTTTTAAGAATTACTTATTTTAAATTCCATTTGTTACTATTTTTTAAAATTTGACCAGAGAGAGAAAGAGAAAGGGAAAGTGAGAAAGCAAGCCACCAGGTCCGGGACTTGAACCACATTTGGCCATGTAGGAATCCAGCAACTTTAATAACCACACCACCTGCCGGCTCCCAATCAACTTTTCAAGCTCATTTTTCTAACATGTTTAAAGAAAATATTATAGCAATAAAACCTTAGTATTTGATAGAAGTAGATGATTATGGAAGATTTACTGCGGAGAGAAGCAAGCCAGGCTATGAAAGAGAGACATGGTATGTCCTCACTTAATATATATCAACTGTCCATATTCTATGGCAAAAACTCAAAAGATTAGAGGATATAGAAGCATAGAAAAATGGTTATGGATACTGGGGATAGTATGGGAGATGGGGGAGAGTGAGAGGAAAGGAATCAAGGAGAAAAACAGAAGCAAGACATTTAAGGGACACAGAAATAGAGGACTATCTGTTTATGATAATGTGTGTGATATTTTCAATGGATTGGTGTGAAGTGTATTCGTGTTAGGTAATTCATTTTACAAGCTGTAGTGATGTACAGTGATAGAATGTATAAAATAATAAAAATTTAAAAAGGGAGATATAAACATCAAGCTACATCATAAATGAAGTTTAGATAAATAAGAACATTATCTATGGCTATAGGGAGAATTATTTATTCAGATCATGAATAAAAGCCTATGGAAAGAAAGTTCACACGCTTTTCTGGTGGATCACTCAAACGCGCTGGCCCATTAATTAGAATGATGCATTAGTTAGAAAGACCAATAGCAATCTTGGTGTAAGTAATAATACATACCACCCCCAGCTATGGTCGCTTTGATGAGAGAATCCAATTCCTCATCACCACGGATTGCGAGCTGTAAGTGCCGTGGAGTGATGCGCTTCACTTTGAGATCCTTGGAAGCGTTACCTGCCAGCTCCAGTACCTACAAAGCACACACGAGAGAACTCTTCAGATGAGGGATGAAGTGTCAGGAGTGAGGAGACTCCCAATTACAGCTAAAAGGTCACTCTAGAGACCCCAGAAACACTCAGAGAGAAGCCACCTTAAATCTGAGCTGTGTCCTGACATGTTCAGGGACCAAGGTGACAGAAGCTCTGTTCTAAACTCCATCTTCCAGACCCCAGAAACACTCAGACAGTTGCAGAAACCTTCTCAAAGCAATTAGTCAAAACTGAATTCACCAACAAGTGACTAAAATTCAAAGAAGAGAGACTGCAGAGTGAGCAGCAGGGAGGACGGAGCTGCAGAGAGAGCGGAGAGTGGCCCCTCCCACATGCCTCTGTTCACTCTCAGTTGAAACCCTGCAGCTCAGCTCAGGTGCACCAATTCCTTAGAAACTGTGAGGACTTTGTAATATACAGTTCCAAAGTTAAAAGTGCCAGCGGCTTGCAAGCATCAGGGAAACGGATCTGCAGAGAGATTGTGGGTCACCTCCTCCCACACACCTCTGAATGCTCAGAATTAACTCAAGGAAATTAGGGGCAAAAATGTATAATCCATCACTTGACCAGAAACTACCACAGAGGCATGAGAAATATAAAAAAACAAGAAAATCTCTCTTCTCCAAGGTAAATGAATAGCCCTTCATCATCCATAGACAGTATAATGACTCGTGGAAATGTCTGATAAAGAATTCAGAATATCGGGACCAGCAGTTGGCGTAATGGCTATGTCGCTCAACTCCCATGTAGTCAACTGAGGCTCAAGTCTTGGACCCAGCAGCTTATACTCACGCCGGATGCGTGTGCGCCCAAGATCCCAAGAGGAGAATGGAGGAGAAGGAACTGTGGCGTGCCCCCCACCCCGCCGGGGGATGATTTCTCGCTTTCTGTCTCTCTGTCAAGCACACATGCCCTATAGCAAAAAAACCTCTCAAAAAAAAAAAAAAAAAAAGGATTCAGAATATTCATAGTGACAAAACTAAATGAGATGCAAGAAATGAAAGATGATGAACTCTGGAAGGTGCAAGAGAAAAGAGATGATTTCTAGGAGGTGAGGAAGTTCTTCCAAGATCTGAAAGAAGAAATATACACCATAAAAAAGAATCAAATGGAGCTGATAGAGATGAAGGCTATAATACAGGAAATCAAAAGCTCCTTAGAAAGCATTAAAAGTAGACTAAACCATGTAGAAAGGTTACTTCAAATCTTGGATGTTGAAGACAAAACCTCTGACTTAGAAAAAAAATCACCAAAGACTGAGAAAATAACTCCCCCAAAATGAGAATAATATATGATAAATACTAGATACCATTAAGTGCCCAAACATCCAGATAACTGGTATCCCAGCAGGCGAAGAAACTAGTAAGGGCATTGATAAATCTATTAAATGAAATCCTGGAAGAAAACTTTCCAAACCTAGAGAGGCATTCAAATATCCAGACCCAAGAAATACAAAGGACCCCTAATAGAATCAATCCAAGAAGATCTTCTCCAAGGCACATCATAGTCAGATTTAGCCAAATCCATAGACAAAGACAGGATATTAAAATTGGCAAGAGAGAAATGTCAGGTTACTTACAAAGGTTATCCCATCAGACTAATGGGAGATCTATCATAGGAAACAATGCAAGGAAGAAATGGGAAAAAATATTCGAAGAGTTAAGTGAAAAACAATTTCACCAAGAAAACTATACCTGGCAAGATTATCCTTCAAATGGGAGAAAAGATAAAAACATTCTCAGATAAGGGACCAGCAATTGGCTAATAGCTATGGTGCTGGATTCCCATGTAGTCAACTGCAGTTCGAGTCCCGGACCTAGTGGCTTAAACTCACACCAGGCACATGTGTGTGCATACCATAGATCCCGAGAGTAAAATGGAGAAGGGACTGGGGGCGGAGGTGATTTCTGTCTCTCTGTCTGTCTTTCTAGCAAGTGCACATGCCCTATGGCAAAAACTTCTCAAAAAAACAAAAACAAAAAAAACACAACAAACAAAAACAACAAAAAATAAAAAACTTTTTTTTCAGAAAAACAAAACATGAAAGAATTTACTAGACCGGCCCTTTGAGAAATTCTGAAGAGAGTGCTTTACCAGGACAACTAAGGACACACAGACAGAAATAAGAGAACAAAAAGCAACCAAGAAATCCACCAACTTAATGGTAGGGACAAAATATTTGTAAGTATTCTTATTTTGTGGCAGAAGGGTTATTTGCATAAGTTCAATAATACCTATTGCCTTGAATCAGAAATCGGAAATAACTGTTATTGACAGGGCTTGGACTGGAATGTCGTATCTGATGATACAACCAGAAAACTACAGAACAAAGGTGGATCTGAAGAAAGCCAATAGCAGCTCTTGGAAAGACTGCCTGGCACCATAAACAGTTATGCCTGGCAAAGGGGATTGATTACAGAAGCCATACCAAAGAATTCATACCATACCACCCCAGCACTGTAATCAGTAGAGGTTGCAAAAGAGCATCCACAACCAGAGGATTACCTTGAGGAAGACTTCTGAAGGAAGAAAGACTGATCTTTGCTAACAGATGGTATACTACAGAATGAATACTTGGTAGGCAGGACTAAGTTGGGAAGTTTCATGTATTGAAATCTGTGCAGGGTGTTTGCTTTTCAACAGTTTGATTAGTTGACATGTAAATGTTTTCTTTTTTTTGGGGGGGGGGAGGTTTTTGCTATAGGGCGCGTTTCCTCAGGTGGAATGTCCACACTACAACCCCTATTCCTCAAAAATATTTAAAACTATACTGTCTCGGGGCCAGTAGGTGGTGTGTTGGTTAAAGGCACTGTACTCCCACATGGCTGACCATGGTTCAAGTCCTGGACCTGGCAGCTTGCCTTCTCACTTTCCCTCTCTTTCTCTGTCTCTCTCTCTCTTTGTCTCTCACTCCATCCCTCCCTGGTCAAATAAATAAATAAATAAAGTTAAATAAAATAATTCTTAAAAAAAAAATAAATAAAACTTTAAAAAATAAATAAAAATAAAACTATGCTATCTCTGTTGTTATAGAGTTACAAAATTATAACAAATATTTAAAAAGCTATCTTTAAAATTGAGTTTTTTGAAACTTTGAAAGTTGTTTATTAACTGCCAAGAACTATGGAGTATGAGCAAAATTTTTTAGAAATGTAAAATAAATGTTTGTGAGAAAACGTAAACATAAATAATTTTTTTTTGGAGATGTTTTTGCTATAGGGTGCATGCACTTGCCAGAAAGACAGAGAGAGACAGAGAGACAGAAAGTGAGAGATCACCCCTCAGGAGGGATGGCCACGCCACAATACCTTCTCCTCCATTCTCCTCTCAGGACCTTGGGCATGTATACACATGCGCCCAGCATGAATTTAAGTCACTGGGTCCAGGTCTCGAACCGTAGTTGACTACATGGGACTCCAGAGACATAGCCATTAGGCCAACTACTGGTCTTAAACATAAATAATTTAAAAAAGATCACTCTATCACTTCTACATATAACACACATACACAGTATACACACACACGCACTTTTTCTTTCTTGTATTTCTTTAATGCTGTTATATAAACTCTTATTACTTTATCTCACACACTTTACACTTTATGGCCATTCTATACAACAGGCAGAAACTGAAACAAAAATCTACTTCCATATAGGAAGAAATTAAAGGTATTATCTCTTTTTTAAGAATTATTATTTTTTGGGAACCAGCAGTTAGCGTAATGGCTATGTCGCTGGACTCCCATGTAGTCAACCGCGGTTCGAGTCCCGGACCCGGTGGCTTAAAACTCACACTGGGTGCATGTGTGTGCGTGCCCAAGATCCCGAGAGGAGAATGGAGGAGAAAGGATTGCGGCGTGACCATCCCCCCTGGGGGGTGATTTCTCGCTTTCCGTCTCTATGTCTCTGTCTGTCTGGCGAGCGCACGCGCCCTATAGCAAAAAACCTCTCCAAAAAAAAAAAAGAATTATTATTTTTTAAAGAACGATTTTCTTTAACTTTCTTTCTCTCTCTTTTTGTTTTAATTTGACAGAGGGGGAACACAGTGAGAGACAGAGGGAAAATGAGAAAGCAAGCTGCAAGGTCCAGGACTCGAACTGCAGTTGGCCATGTGGGGGAGGAGTCCGGCACCCTTACACATCATGCCTACTGCCGGCCCAAATGGTATTCTCTCTTAGCCAAGATCCTAAATGTCAACATTTAGAAAAGTCATACATATATTGGGGCCAGCAGGTAGTGTGATGATTAAGGGCACTGTACTCCCACAAGGCTGACCATGGTTTGGGTCCTGGACCTGGCAGTTTGGCTTCTCACTTTCCTTCTCTCTCATCAAATTAAAAAACAAATAAGTAAAATAAATAGAGTAATTCTTTAAAAAAATAGAAAGAAAAGTTGTGGGACCAGCAGTTAGTGTGTAATGGCTGTCACTGGATTCCCATGTAGTCGACAGAAGTTTGAGTCCTGGACCTGGCGGCTTAAACTCACACCGGGCGTGTGTGCGTGTGTGCCTAAGATCCCTAGAGGAGAAAAGAGAAGAAGGTATTGTGGCGTGGCCATCCCCCTAGGGGGTGATTTCTTGCTTTCTGTCTGTCTCTTTCTGTCTTTCTGGTGAGCTCACGTGCCCTATAGCAAAAACCTCTCCAAAAAAAAAAGTTGTATATTTTTATGTATCCATGTAGTCTATTTTTGTATACCCTATAATAGCTAGAATTTTTTTTTTGCTATAGGGGGTCTATGCTTGCCAGAGAGACAAAAGAGACAGAAAGCGAGAAATCACTCCCCAGGGGAGATGGCCATGCCGCAGTCTCTTCTCCAGTCATCTCGGGATTTTGAGCATGCATGCACATGCGCGGTCAGCTATGTGGGAGTCCAGTGACATGATCATTACGCCATCTGCTGGTCCCTGGAATTTATCTTTTAATATCTGTAGAAAAGTTGGGGTCAGCAGGTGTTGTGGAGGTTAGAGCAGCTGGATCCCGCATAGCCTTCTGTGCAGTTTGAGTCTCAGAATCAGTGACTTGAGGTACCAATGGTTGGTATAATGGCTACATAACTGGACTTCCATGTAGGTGACTGTGGTTCGAATCCCAGGCCTGGTGGCTTAAAATCATACTGGGTGTGCGAGTGTGCATGCCCAAGATCCTAGGAGAATGGAAAAGTAATTGTGGCCTGGCCATCCCCCCCACCCCCCCGAGGTGATTTCTCACTTTCTGTCTGTCTTTCTGGAGAGTGCATGCGCCCTATGGCAAAAACCTCTGCCAAAAAAAAAAAAAGAACCAGAGGCTTGAAAAATGTAACAAGTGTGTGCTTACATGTGCCCAAAATCCAGAGAGGAGACTGGAGAGCCAATTAAGGTGTGGCCATCCCCCCTAAGGGAGTGATTTCTCACTTTCCCTCTCTCTGGAGAGTGCACATACCCTATAACGAAGTAAAAAAAAAAATGTAGAAAAGTTTCAAAATGTAATTTAAGGGTAAGTAGGTGGCATGGTAGTTAAGGTACTGGATTTCCAAATGGCTAACTATGGTTTAAGCCCTAGACCCAGTGGCACCTAGGAAAAAAAAAGTAACTAAAAATAAGTTCTTATTCATTTTAAAAATGTATTATATCCAGTTTTAAACACGAATGGGCTATATAATCCAGACAATAAGCTAGATGCCTTTTATCCCTTTTTTTTTTCCACTCCTTTTTTTTTGGGGGGGAGGTTTCTGCTACAGGGCGTGTGCGCTCACCAGAAAGACAGAGACAAAGAAAGTCAGAGATAGAGAGACAGAAAGCGAGAAATCACCCCCCAGGGGGTTTGGCCACACCGCAATCCCTTCTCATCCATTTTCTTCTTGGGATCTTGGGCACACATGCAAAGAAACCTGGGGTGAGTTTAAGCCACTTCTTCCGGAACTTGAACTGTGGTTGACTACATGAGATTCCAGTGGTATAGCCATTACATCAACTGCTGGTCCCACTGCTCCCTTTTTTGAAAGAGGGATTTTTGCTATAGGGAATGTGCACTCGTCTGAGATACAGAAAGAGAAATCACCTCCCAGAGGGGATGGCCATGCCACAATTCCTTCCCCTCCAGTCTTCTCTTGAGATTTTGGGGATTCATGCACACATGCCTGGTGTGAGTTTCAAGTCGTCAGGTCCAGGACTCAAACTAGACAAGTACATGGAAGTCCAACAATGTAACCATGTTGCCATCTGCTGGTCCTTATAAGTCTTCTAGAACAACAGTTTCGACTAGAGGAATTTTTAAAAAAGAATTATTTTATTTAACTTTATTTATTTAATTTGACTAGAGAGGGAAAAGCAAGAGAGAGAGAGTGTGAGCCACCAGGTCCCAGACTTGAACCGCAGTTGTCCCTGTGGGAACCCAGTACCCTTAACCACCATGTCACCTGCTGGCGACTTTCAAAATCCCAGTTGGCCATATACTGCATTCTTTGTTTTGCCTCCATACACTTTCATGGCATTAGTAATCTTTTGATGGAAAAAATACAAAGAATCTCCTCAGAGCTCTTCATTTAAGAAGCATAGTAGCAAGCCTGGGTGTAAATAAGAATTATCAAGCTTTTTTATTTTTATTTTTTAAATTATATAATTTTATTTGTTTTTATTTTTTTTTTAAAGTTTGATCACACAGGAACAGAGAGAAAGTGAAAAAGCA